TTTTCATTTTTTTTTTATCGTTCTTCAACGGTATAATACAATATAGGAGCTCCGGTTAGGTAGTCGTATTAGTCGTAACGACCTTAGTAAATGTTCAAGTAGGTATCGTAATTTTTTCAATGATTCTTTTCATGTGTTATTTTAAATGTATAATRTTGTATTTAAAATTTTAAAAGCATACTATAGTTACCTACTTCTGTAACGATTAGGGACGGTTAAACTCCTTTTTTTAATTACCTATACGACACCGATAAATAATTGTTATTGGCCTATCATAATAACGATTTATAAATTGACCATAAACACGTATTTTTAAATTTAATTGGTGTGATCTATCTAACACKTCATTCCAGCAATCTAAAAAGTAAAAACCCATTTATATTCAAAACTGAACTAGTGTGACACTCATTATACCACTGAACTAATAATTCAAATATGACCTTCGATAATGATTTATAACCATGAGAATAAAAAATTCATTCCTAGGTATACGCGTGGTCTAACAAGCATGCAAATATAGAAATTTGTTTGATAACATTTTTAATTAATAAGTATAGTTTATAGTAAACATAATATTAATTATTATTACGTTAAGTATAGATARGGTACCTACCCTATATAATTTGACGAGGCTTTAAGATTAGTGAGGAAGTTCATAAAAAAGGAGGGAGAACGTACGTTAATTCGTATTTCTAAAAGTATACCAATAYAAATAATTAATATATTTCGATTAATACGTTAATAATAATTTTTGTTATTAAAAGGATATAATAATAGTCAATATTCAATCAAAAATTATTATATTCACACTATTCTATTATCAATATGATAATCGTAAAAACATAACTTTTCACTAAGATTACCTACCACGTGGATTCYYTTGTGATTTTTTAATTTAAGACATATAGAAACACAGTTTTCATCAAGCGTCAGAAAATACCAAACAGAATTTTATTTTATTTTTYTAAATTCAAGCAACATTCAAATAGAATTGTTTGTTGTTTATATGCGATGATTACTTTCAATAAACACTCACTGTTCTTTGTGCACACTGTCCACATTTTTGATAATAATTACTCCACATTGTTCGATTCATAAAGATATATGTTTGAACAAAGCAGAAGAACGTCAAATCATAATCTAAATAACATTGAGAATAGCATATATCGATGGTGAATCGTATTAATAATTACATAA